GGCCCCGGAGCTGTGGGGTGTAGACAGGGCGGCCCCGGAGCTGTGGGGTGTGGACAGAGTGGCCCCGGAGCTGTGGGGTATGGACAGGGGCCCTAGAGTGGGCTGCCTGGCCTGGTACTTGCCTGGCTGCTCTCCAGGGCTATGCCCTTGGGCAGGTGACCACCCTGTCTGTGCCTCAGTTTCCTCGTTGGGGGGGGGGTTCGTCGTAGGCCTTGCCTTGGGGCAGGTCATGAGTGGATCTGTGCGGAGCCCTTAGTGTGGTCAGTGTCGTTATCTGCATGGTCGCAGCCTGCTGTAACTCGAAGGGCATTTGTAAGGTCCCAGACCTGCAGGAGCGGGACAGTGAGGTTTGCATGGAAGAGGAGAGGAGGGTTGTGAGGCAGCTCCGGCCGGGCCGGGGTGACGTTCTGATGAGTCCTACAAACTTTACAAGGGGCCTGAGACTCAGCCTAGATTGGGGGCAATGGGGGGAGGGTGACAAGTAGGAGAGAATGTGTTTGAAGTTTTACTTTATAAACATAGTTGTCACTATGAAGTTTCATAAAAATGCCTCCCTACCCAGTGGTTTTGAGGACCGGAGATAATGGGTCTGGAGTGCCTGCTTAGGACCTCAGCTTCAGGGATGCACCTCAGGTGGGGACAGCCCATCGTTGAGGCGTCCACTTCGGGGCACTTGGGTGACTGATGATGAGGGACACCTCTGGGTGGGGCTGAGGAAAGACCACGGACTTGGGCTGTAGAGGGGGTGGGGGTGGCAGGGGCAGGTGGCTGGAGGGCTCAGGGTGGCGGTGCCGTGGGGGTGAGAAGGGAGGCGCTGAGCGGGCCTGCGTGGCAGAGAGGAGGGGGCTGGAGGCTCATGGGCCCCAAGATCAAGGGTAGGCCTTTTCCCTTTTCTAGAACGAGGGCGTCTGAGAGGAAGGCGTCAGTGGCCGGGCAGAGTAGCATCTGGGGGGCTGGTGAGCACCAGAAGAGATGGCTCCAGTCCCAGGCAGGGACTGCGACGTCGGGAGGTGGAGTGGCTCCAGTTTCGGGGTGAAGGTGCTCAAGGCGGCCGTGAAGGGATAATGAAAAGAAGCGAGGCTGTGCCCATAGCCTCCACTTCCACCGCAGAAGGTGACGGCGTGTTCGTTTCTGATTTTGCTGTCTTTTGACATTATCTTTGTCTGAAAAAGGACAAGCAAAACAGGGTGAAGGAGAAAACAACAGTTATGACAACACATTCTGTGTGGCAAGCACAAAAACAGGGAGCCAGAGTATTTTCACTTTCATTGAATTTGGTGGCATTCCTATAAGCATTTTACTTTGTTAATTAGAACGTGTGTGACTCCCGTGGCTGCCGAAACAAATTACCACCCACTTGGGGGCTTTAACAGCAGAAATTTATTCTCTCACAGTTCTGGAGGCCAGATGTCCGAAACGGGTCTGACTGGGCCGAAACCCAGGTGAAGCTTCGGGAGGTTCCAGGAAGAATCTGTTCCTGTCCCTTTTCAGCTTCTGGAAGCTGTCCTCAGTCCTTGGCCCCCCTGACATCCCAGTGCCCCCTCACCTCGCTTCTGCCGCTGTCACATCCTGTCTTAAGCTATCCCCCCCCCCTCCAGCTTACGCCCAAGTACACTTGTGATCACTTGTGTTCAGGGTCCACCTGCATAACCCAGGATCCTCCCCCAACTCAGGGTCCTTGAGTTCATCACACCTGCAAAGTGTTCCCTGTTAGGTGACAGTCACACTTCCGGGGGCCAGGCCTGCTGTCTCTGGGGACTACCCTTCAGCCTACCACAGTGCTCCTGACCACTTCTGAAAGGACTGTGGTTCTTCCCACCCCGTGCTGGGGGGCAGCCAGCTCATACCCCTGCCCCTGTCCCTCGGGCACGGTCTGAGGGGCTGCCACTGCCCCTGTGTCCAGAAGGGCCTAGTGGTTTTCCTGCTCTTCCCTGGAGGAGAGACTGGGGCTCTTCTGGAAAAGGCGTCCCTGGAAAGAAGATAAGCCTGGCTTGGGGTTCGAGTCTGGTAGATCCCTCATTCTTTACCTTTTGGGGTTGGTGGCCACCAATGCTTTGGCCATCTTATGAAAACTATAGACCCTCTCCAGAAGTATACACACATGCACATGGTATTTTAATATGGACACATGTTTTCCTGTGATTTTCAGGGGGTTCACATTTCAGAAGTTCATCCATGAACTTCATCCATGAAGGAGACCCGGTGCTCCAGACAGAGAACTCTTCTGTTGGAACTTTCTCAGTGAAAACATGGAGTTGGTCCTGTTTCCCTCCCTTTCATCCTTTCCTGTGGCCTTGCTCTCCCCAACCCTGTAGCCATGGTGATTTCCCGATGCATATCCTTCCCCATCTTTTTCTTTGTTCACACGTTTACAGACACACACATACACGTGTACACACACACACTCCATGCTACTTACATATCTTTTTCTACATCTTATTTTTGTCCCTTCTTCCAGGACACTAGCTGAAGCTAAGCCCACTGATTTAAGAATCAGACAGTAGGCCTTCTGTCCTGCTTCTCATCCTCCAGAGGCGGTCATCCTCAGGTTTACGGCTAAGCTGTTCTTTTAAACTGTATGTATGTAGATATTATCTTTTGATTTCTCTCAAAGGTGCAGAGAAGCTTTAGCCTTCCTCTCTACCCACTGCAGCTCCCCCCTATTTCCCAACATTACTATTGGGTCATCGGGAAAGTCATGACACATTTTTGCATTGAAAAACAGAAAAATGCATCATGATTTTCCCGACGACCCAATATATCACCTTTTGGTTAAAACAGTGGTCATTGCTTACCTTTTGATGGCTCTATTGTTTGTTACCGAACCACGCAGTACACTTGAGCACAGCTCCTTTCTCATCCAAGCCTGTCACTCGTCCCTCCTCAAACTCCTTTTCCTCACGTCCAGCACATGCCCCACTGCACCTCTTTTGTGGTTGTGGGGAGACTTCTCCCCCAGAGCCCCTTCCCTGCCCGAGTCTGTTCTGGTC